GTGGTGGGGGGATGGTGGGGGAGGGAAAGACACCACAGCACGCACACTGCCGCCCCTTTTCCCGCATCCGGCTGCATGCTCGCCTTCTGACATCCAGCAATTCGCGTATGTCGGGGCTTGGCGAGCTTTGCAAGCGTGCAGCGACCATGCCCCGTGGTCGTGCAACCGCCAAACGCACGCGCCCTTCGTGCCTCCCTCTGCCACATCCGCACACGCCGCCGCAACCGCCACGAACAACCACTGCCACGACCCCGCAGGGCCCAGGTGTCCCTCTACCTTCTGCTGATGGAGGAGCGCTACCGCACCCCCGTGTCGTCCGGCCTGCTGTGGAACGTCAACCAGCCCGCCATGCAGCTGGTGCCGCGCAAGCACGCCGAGCTGGCGCCCCTGCTGGCGCGCCGCAACGCGCTCGCGGCGCACCTGTGGCAGGAGCGGCCGCCCGCGCCGCCGATGCTGCAGGTGTGGGCACGTGCGGCGCTGGCACCCCCTGCTTGGGGGTTCTTTTGGGCTTTGGTTCAGGGCTCTTGGTTGTGGGTTGAGGGGTCTAGGGTGCGTGTCACGTTTGCTCATTGTTCACGCCCTGCATTGTAACACGCCCACTAGCACAATGCGCATTCACTGGGAGACGCCACTCCGCCAATATCTAAAGCGAATCCTCTGGACCTCTGCGTCTCGCGACTTGTCTCGGCAAACCGCTCAACCGCCCTGGCCCCTCCCGCCAACACTCGACGCCACCCCCAGGACGCCTTCGCATGCCGCCGCTGCCACAGCGCCGGCGTGTGCGCGGCCTACCACGCCGTTGTCGAGGGCGGCACCCCCGAGAGCAGCGGCTTCGAGGAGGGCCACTTCGAGTCGCTCGCCGGCCACATCAGCGCGCCGCACGCGGCGTTTGTGGCGCACTGGATGGGGCTGGTCGACTGGGAGGAGGCGGGGGCGCGCGCCAGGAGGAGCGGCATGTGGGCGCTGCCAGGTGGGGCAGGGCTGCGCCGCCATGCTTGCATCTATCAAAGCGGAGCGCCTCGGTCCTTTCTCGGCGTTGAAGGGGATGAGGCGGCCTGCCGCTACCAGCTGGTGATGCTGGCTGCCTCGCGTTGCTGCAGCGCTCAGAAGTGTCGAGCTTTGCCACCAACAGGGTTGCCCCCTCCGCACCCTTTCCCACGCGCACTCACTCACACACACACGCGCGCGCGCGTGCGTACATACACCGTCTCACAAACACACCGCCACGCCCCTCTTCGCGCCTGCAGGCCCCGAGCGCGAGGCG